GGCCTTAAATAGTTGCGCCCTTTACATTTTTATTTTTGCTCTTTTTAGGTGCTAGGGACTTTTGAGTTTTTTGAAGTTTCATGCATTGGACAGGGGAAAAGTGGTGGTCGCGGGTGTCACTCGAGCGTAATCGTAAAAGATTGAAAATACATAATAGAATTACTCTTGAACAATTATAATCATAAATTTGTATTCTACAAACGATTTGTGATCGATTGGAAAAAAAAAATTTTTTAATTAATTTTCAAAAATTTGTCGGCTAATTACATGCATTATTTTGATTAATTAATTAAAGATGATTGAGCAAATCTTGGAAGTTAAAAAATATTGTACAATGACCTGCTAACGAAACGGCTCTATTTTTCCCGAATTTGTTTAATCATTTTTGAATGTGTCAACAAAAAAGATATCGTTTAAAAAAAAAAGTTCAGAGGGACCAATAAATTTCCACGTTTCAGACGATTCTCAATCGTTTGAGTATACATTTGCGAGACAATTTTTCCCGAATTTGTTTAGTCATTTCTCAATTTGTTAACAAAAATAGAGCCGTTTAAAAAAAAAAGTTCCGAGGGACCAATAAATCTCCACGTTTCAGACGATTCTCAATCGTTTGAGTATACATTTGCGAGACAATCTTTCCCGAATTTGTTTAATCATTTTTGAATTTGTTAACAAAAAAGAAATCGTTTAGAAAAAAAAGTTCCGAGGGACTAATTAATCTCCACGTTTCAGACGATTCTCAATCGTTTGAGTGTACATTTGCGAGACAATTTTTCCCTAATTTGTTTAGTCATTTTTCAATTTGTTGACAAAAATAGAGCCGTTTAAAAAAAAAAGTTCCGAGGGACCAATAAATCTCCACGTTTCAGACGATTCTCAATCGTTTGAGTATAAATTTGCGAGACAATTTTTCCCGAATTTGTTTGGTCATTTTTCAATTTGTTAACAAAAATAGAGCCGTTTAAAAAAAAAAGTTCCGAGGGACAAATAAATCTCGACGTTTCAGGAGATTCCCAATCGTTTGAATATATATTTGCGAGACAATTTTTCTCGAATTTGTTTAATCATTTTTGAATTTGTTAACAAAAAAGAAATCGTTTAAAAAAAAAGTTCCGAGGGACTAATAAATCTCCACGTTTCAGACGATTCTCAATCGTTTGAGTATACATTTGCGAGACAATTTTTCCCGAATTTGTTTAATCATTTTTCAATTTGTTAACAAAAAAGAAATCGTTTAAAAAAAAAGTTCCGAGGGACTAATTAATCTCCACGTTTTAGACGATTCTCAATCGTTTGAGTATACATGTTCGGGACAATTTTTCCTCAATTTTTTAAACAAATGGCGTATTTATGAACGTTAACTCGCTTTTTCATTCCGTCCATCGGTTGTGTCTCCATCATACCCCCACTCTCCGGTACATCGGATGGTTTCGTTCGTTTTCGGACGTCATCGTTATTTCAATAAGTGCTCTACCTTAGTGACACTCATGACCGCCTCGAATTATCGACACTCACGGGCTCGCGCTCTGTCGTATCCATACTCACGGGCTCTGAACATTATTGACACGCACGGGCTCTGAAAATTATCGACACTCACGGGCTCGCGACCTGTTTTACTTACACGTACGGGCTCCCTGGGCGTAGTTCCGTAGCCGCCGCAATGAATAACTCGCCCAAGCCTTTCCATAAGCCCTAGCAATCTCCCCTATAATCTCTGCTTCAACCGCGAAATTGTCTGGCCGCCCGAGCCGAACTAATTTTGCGGGTGTACCTGTGAATCAAACAGGTAGCGAGGGCAAGAGTGTCGGTAATTTTCGGAGGGCGTGGGTATAGATAAAGTAGAGCGCGAGCCCGAGCGTGTCGATAATTCGGAAAGACCAGCAAACGCGAGAGTGTCGATAATTCCAGGAAATCGTGACGAAAGAAAACATCCCATATAGAGCGGAGTGGGAGTATGATGGAGAAACAATCGATGGACGGAATGAGAAAAATGAATTCACTTCTGTAAATTCG